TATATCGAGATACGTGTATTCTGTAACTCTGCAAATGTAGATTTTTCTCATCTTATCCTGGGTACAAACAACTTGGTAAATACATCAATACAAATATAGTAATTTTGTACTACTATTTTACAGCATTAGATTTATAAAATACAGAGAGACATATAATTATTTGAAGGAACATAAAGTTAAAACACCGTATTTTGAAGGCTTTATACCAAAATACTGTCACTCACTCTAGCCTTAAAAACATTAAATCATATTATGTTAAAGATGTACATATACTTAAGTTTAACTTCATAAATAATATTTTATCTATGCTACTATACAAGCTGACATGTTTAGTCTGTCAACGCGCTCCGATCAATTAAAAAAATTTTGAAAGGAAATTCGGCAGCCTGTTAAAATTGGATAAAAAGATGATAAAGATTTAATCCCCAATTTGTCAGATAACAGCATGGGTTGCGGAAGGGTCACTGATCGGAGCGTGTAAACATGCTTGTTTATAGATATCTTGCTGCGCCAAGATAACATTTTACATCATTCACATCATGTTTCCCCATGAAAAACACCGTCCCCTACCGTGTATTATATTATATGTGACGATTTTAAGAAATATTTATTGAATTATTCAATGACTTAATGAACATGACACAAAATTATTTTGAAGCTTTTCGCAATAAAACTTCCAAGACAAAATTAATGTACCTAATCTTCTTCGATGATGATTTTTTGCAAAAATTATTGATTTAGGTTGGTTCACCTGACACAAATTAATTTTCCTTCATTTTTTTCCTTTTCAATTTTTTTCTGCTATCTTAAATATCTATGGTATGTTAGAAAAAACTAAACTAGACAAAAGGTGATCTTCATTAATCTTCTATTTTTTTTCATTTTCAATTCCCATTTCTATGATGCTTTTTATACAATCACAGATCTGTAAAAAATTACAAAACTTAATTTAAACCAAGTGGTTATGCCAGACTGTATTTCTCTATTAATTACCAATTATTCACCAATATCTGATCACATAAGTTGTCTCTTACATTTTTTATCTCTACCTTGAAGCCCGGGCCTCGGGCCCCTACAAGTTCAATATGTTTTACTATCATTCAGCTCAGTAGGGAGAGCATCAAATTCTTGATCCAGGGGTCGCTGATTCGATCCTAAGGTAAGGCAAAACTTTTCTGTTACAACTCAGTTATGGAGTCTTCATGATGGTCATAATTATGTCTCTTACAGTTGATTCAGAAATCATGTAGGATAAGTAGTGGGTAACTGAGAAATTTGTAAATAGAGGTTGATAGACCAAAAAGTATAGCAAATGTAATGCAACCAAATGTACAAAACCATCAAGCACATTGCAAGCATTGCAATATATGGTTAATGCAACAAGCAGACAATGTCAACGGGCATCAAATTGTGTTATCAAACAGTAGACTGTATCATCAATGTGAAAAGACCTGAAACAGACTTATCATCCAGCAAAGAACATCAAGTGAACAAAACCACAAAGACCATGCATGTAGTTGAAGAATATCGCAAAGCAGTAAGCACAATCTTATCAAAATAACCAAGAAGATCAATTGTCACTCAGAGGCAGACTGTGTCACTTAAATGCAGATTTTATGTCACCTGGTCACCTGGTAGAATACAACCAGTCCAAAAACAACAGGCATTTAGCAGAATACCTTGTCTTACAAATACAGGCCTAGTCATAAACCATATTATCATTTTCCAAACTCCAAAAAACGTACCAAACAGCATCATAATTTAAATCAATATAGAATGAAATTCTTTTAGGCGCATAAAAAGCTGACCCAATGTCTAGCAAAGTGTCTCATCAGATAAATATTTTACCACCTAAGAGATGGCGCTAAACCAAAAGTGCCATCTAGCAGACAGACAAGCAGATGTGGTATGTTATAAGTTAAATGCTTACAATACTGGCTTTCAGGTGGTTGAATAAATGTTATGAGGTGAGGATAGATGATAGACTAAATATTTTATATTATCAAAGTGATATACTGAAAATATTATCATCATATAACATAATACACCTGTTCTTATTTACTGTTCAAATACTGTAGCTCTGTTCTGTTCCTATACAGCTGTATTTAATGATATCAGTTATTTATAATTCATATTATGTTAATATTTCATTGAATTTCTATTCCGTTTGATTAATTGTTCAATAACAGTCTTGAAAATGATCAGTATTTTTGGCACCTTTTCCTACCTATTTGGTAATTGGTCCTGGTTTGGGAAATTTTGGAGTCAAGAAATCTAGCAAATCGGGGAGTAAGCAAGTAGAACTATTTATAACAGCAAAATTATGAGATAAATGTACTATAATTAAATACTATGAAAATAATATTTTCGGGAATTTTTTGTCCCAATTTTTGGAAAATTTGGTATTTTCTGCCTTTTGGAATGGGGCTGTTTATTAAGCCCAACAAAAACACTCATCAATTTCTCATCAACCAAATTCTTGTGAGACTTTTCAAAAATATTTTACTCAACCTATTGATGTACAATGTATGCCAATTCACAATAAAGACATTCAAATTGTCAAAAGAGAGGTAATATATATATATCAAAGAGGGTTGTTTGATGAAATAAACAAAGACCTCTTTGAAATGGTGACAAAAATCTCCTATCACTTCAAACAACTCAAGGCTTTTCTTAAGAATCTATATAAAGTGCAATAATTATTGATCTTTAGAAATTTTTTTTTTTTTAAATGTTAAACACTAAAATATCGATACCACTTAATACTAGTTTCAATTTTTACTAGGCGCAAACAGTAAAAATTACAGTTGAAAAATTCAGCAAACATAAAATACTTGAAAACACTCAAGTTGCAGGGACTCATACTGTCTGAATTATTTGACCACCTGGAAATCTTGTCACCACAACGTCCCCTAATCAAACACTATAAACAGGAAGATTTTTACCCAATGTTTACCCAGGATAAAAGCATTCTACCTACTCCAAAGTAACAAGTAGAGTGACCACTTAGATTACCTGCCATGACAAGGTATTGAACCCTTGCAAATTTGAAAAGAAATTGATATGAATAGATAAGAGGTAGTGTATTACGGTCAACAAACTTGGCTACTTGATGCGACAAAAATGTTCTATTACATTATGTTAACAATAAACTTACATATTTAACGTACAATATTTTAATTCGGTTATCATCCAAGATGAAAATGTGTTAAATTAATAAGCTTTCAGATTCTTAAGATTATCAATCTTTTGATGTCATTTTCAATTTACATTAAATCTGTGCACAGTTTTTAAAGTACATCGCGAGAAAGTCGGCAATCTGATTTTATGTTTGGGGGGCTATGGGCCCTCATACAAATCAGATTATGAGATAGCCTTGCTTTTCGATGCTCTTTCTATTATATATAATGGTCTAGCAGTCCTAGTTTTATATAAAAAAAATTATTAGAAAATAAAAGTATCAGCAACTCCAATGACTGCTTCCTTTCGTGTCACATTGACAAACCCAAAAACCCTGGCTTTCAAATAAAAAAAAAAGTTAAAAGTCCTTTTTTTTTTTTCAATTTTAGTAAAAACCTTTAGCCTTTTAACCAATCAACCCAACCTACATGTACCCTATGGTGGCATGAGTTTAGAGATCCATGGAAGATACCAATAACACACACCAAATAGTTATGTTAAATGTCAGTTACTAAAATAAATGACAGTGTTATATGTATGAGAAAGATTTCAAGTGCTGATGGAAGGAATGGGTAAAAATTATTCAGAAATAGACAAATACGTGATTCATGTAACTAAATTGTTTCCAAGGCTTATTGAACATAACATTTTAACTAAACAAGAGCTGTCGGTAGGACAGCAACGCCCGACTATTCTTAGTGCTTGATAGTAAAAAAAATGCTTGATACAGATACCTCCTCCTGTTTACAGGTTGGGGTAATGATGGTGAACAAGTGTGCAAAGTTTCAAAGCCATATGTCAATGGACTTTGAAAATATTTGAACTATTACAAAAACTTTAATGTAAATTCTAAGTTGAAAAAGGGGCATAATTCTGTCAAAATGCTTGATACAGTTACCTCCTCCTGTTTACAGGTTGGGGTAATGATGGTGAACAAGTGTGCAAAGTTTCAAAGCCATATGTCAATGGACTTTGAAAATATTTGAACTATTACAAAAACTTTAACGTAAATTCTAAGTCGAAAAAGGGGCATAATTCTGTCAAAATGCTTGATACAGTTACCTCCTCCTGTTTACAGGTTGGGGGTAATGATGGTGAACAAGTGTGCAAAGTTTCAAAGCCATATGTCAATGGACTTTGAAAATATTTGAACTATTACAAAAACTTTAACGTAAATTCTAAGTCGAAAAAGGGGCATAATTCTGTCAAAATGCTTGATACAGTTACCTCCTCCTGTTTACAGGTTGGGGTAATGATGGTGAACAAGTGTGCAAAGTTTCAAAGCCATATGTCAATGGACTTTGAAAATATTTGAACTATTACAAAAACTTTAACGTAAATTCTAAGTCGAAAAAGGGGCATAATTCTGTCAAAATGCTTGATAGAGTTACCTCCTTCTGTCTATAGGTTGGGGGTAATGATGGTGAACAAGTGTGCAAAGTTTCAAAGCCATATGTAAATGGACTTTGAAAATATTAAAACTATTACAAAAACTTTAACATAAGTGGTTACGCCGACGCAGACGCCGACGCTCGGGTGACTACAATAGCTCTACTTATTCTTATCGAATAGTCGAGCTAATAAGAAAATTACCAACAATCCAAGAGCAACAGATAGATACATTAATTAACTGTTATCTATTCCTTTAGCACAATAGAGTATAGAAGGACAGGACCAAATGTTGAGTTCCGAAGAAAGACTTCTGGGAGCAACATCAATCAGCATGATTCAGTCATAATATATGAGCCATACACATTGTATATGAAGAGTCATTTTTTTGAGCATACAGTCATACAACAAGAACAACAACAGCAACTCACCACAGCCCTGTTCATCCTTCCCGTTCTTACAGTCGGGCTGACCGTCACACACTAATGCTTGTGGAATACACACACAGTTACCACAAGAGAATTTATTGAAGGCCGGACATGTACATTCACTGTCATCTCCAATACAAACTGAAAATGTAAAAGAATAAAATATACAAAATTACTAATAACAAAAAAATTATTACGCATCAAAAAGACTACATACATGTTATAATTCCATAATGAGCATGTACACATATACATGTAGAACAATGTGAATCAAATATTAGGCCTTAGTTACCATCCTTCATAAAATTACTTGAAGACTTTCCTAAAAAATTCAAATCACATTCAAATCATGCATGTATTATATGTTAATCCTGGGACAACTAGAACTGCCACTATCTTGGCGTGAATACCCCCGCATACCACTTTGTCAGAATCAACAGTGGCCATTTAGAGCTCAAGGACAACCTCCCTGCCAAATCTGAGGTTACTAAGCCAGTGCATTGCTAAGTTATGTATCCTACAAGCTTCAAATGTGAAAATGTCAAAATCAATACATTGCGGACAGGACATTCTTTAGCAATTGAGAAGAAAAGCTTTTTTTTGTCAAGGTCCCTGTGACCTTGACCTTTGACCCAGTGACCTCAAAGTCAATAGGGGTCACCTTATAGTCATGATCAACATCCATGCCAAATATGAAGACTGTGGGTCAAAGGAATCTTAAGTAAATGGGTGGACAAACTTTTTGAAGTCAAAGTCCCTATGACCTTGACCTTTGATACAGTGACCTCAAAATCACAAGGGGTCATCTACTTATCATGATCAACATCCATGCCAAATATGAAGACTGTGGGTCAAAGGAATCTAAAGTTATTGGGCAGACAAACTTTTTGAAGTCAAAGTCCCTGTGACCTTGACCTTTGATCCAGTGACCTCAAAATCACAAGGGGTCATCTACTAATCATGACTAACCTCCATGCCAAACATGAAGACTGTGGGTCAAAGGAATCTTAAGTTATTTTGCGGACAAGCTTTTTGAAGTCAAGGCCCCTGTGACCTTTGACCTGGTGACCTCAAAGTCAATAGGGGTCATCTACTAATCATGACTAACCTCAATGCCAAATATGAAGAGTTTGGGTCAAAGGAATCTTAAGTTATTGGGCGGACAAGCTTTTTGAAGTCAAGGCCCCTGTGGCCTTGACCTTTGACCTGATAACCTCAAAATCAATATGGGTCATCTACAAATCATGACAAACCTCCATGCCAAATATGAAGACTAAGGGTCAAAGATATCTTAAGTTATTAGGCGGACAAGAAAAAACCGACGGACGGCCGCATTTGTTGTGCGGGGGTATAAAAAATACCTTTTATACTTTTTGTCCCAGGTCAATCCCTTTTTCCTATTGATGTTTTTTAACATATGTATACCATTCACCTTTCAAATACAAATTTGTCCACTTAAATACTGGCTCTAACACAAGAAGGCCTTTGAGCTCAAACCAGTGGAAGTATGGAAGTCATTTAATGATTTATTCTGTGATACAGGCTTGTGATTTCAAATATCTAAAACTTTTCATTCTTTACCTATACAACGCAACTTCCAATTTTAGAGATTTTTCAGTCTTTGACTTCCACGTTTTGGAACTTATTGGGTGCCCTGCCAAACAATATTACATGTACCGGTATGTCTAAAGGGTCAATAATTAAAATGACATTAAATGTAGATACCAGTATAGAAACTTTATGAATGATATACCACGGCCAAGGATGTTTAACAATGTATTATTTCATATATATGCAAAAATGTCATGACCTGCATGTCCATCTATGAACATTTTGCATGCTCTTAACTGGACAGCTTCTTCACACTGAGTCAAGATAAATTTTCATTTGGCAATATACAAGTATACAATTGTTTGTTTATGTTTTTCTTACAACAAAACATCAGGTTAAAAAATCGGTGTCAAATTTGAAGATACAAATCATTTTGTCATAACTATTTAATCTTAAATCACTCAATTGTAACAAATCATTCAACAAGATGTATAAACACTACTTTTTATCACCATAATGAGATGAAATGCTTTTCAACAAAATCTTTTTCTCCTTTATAGTTTCATACAGATACGACATCAAAACACTTGTCAGATGATTTGAGGTTTTAGTACTAATTATTTCTCGCAAGCTTTCAGCAGGTTTATACCACATATAGCAACTTCAAACGAGTCGCTCCGATCAATTTTCGACTTTAGCGCTCGACCATGACTTGAGGTAAAATTAAATTTCAAATCGTCAAAAGATATTTTCTCATAAAATCTTTTTCGGTCTTCTCTCTAAAGGCTACCAATTAGTACACCTGGATAGATTTGTTGCAATTTTTTTTTTGCCCCCAGTTGAAAATCTGAATTTTTAATCTTCTCTATAAAATGGGATAATTAATTTTCTATACATTCTGAATTTGGTACGCCATGTAGCGTAACATGTCATAACCGCTGCACGGATTCTTAAGTCTCCAATCAAATGTGACAAATTCTATATTCTGAAAAACCAGATGCTTGAACTCAATAAGCTCACGGGACATTGTAAAATTTTAAAATCAGCGAATGAAAATGCATTTGCAATGTCACTGAGGTACATATGACTTAAATGTTGCAACTTTTAAGGCATAGAAAAGAGAAATGAGTACAGATTAAATGATTCAGCGTGTTTACATGTAATTAATGTGAACTTCTACATTGAACTAATGGTTTGAAAGGCAATAAGTGTCAAACGCCTGTCCAAATATCATGATCACGCATTCATTATTTAAAATACAATTCATAGCAAATTACAATAAAACTTTCCATTTCTATCTTTCCAAATTGTGTGTGAACATTAAAACTTCTTATTTCCTTGGGCGTCTTTAATGATTTAAGTCTGACCCTTGAATATGCCATAAAGGTCTTCTGAGTGCAAACTTGACACGCATTAAACTTTTACAATTTAAAATGTAGACATTATTCTTTCATTGCTATTCTACGATGATAATTCCCCGTTAGGGAATAAAACGTTTTACTATAATATTTTCACAGAAGTTTACTCTAATGGAACAGACTAAACAAAAGGTCTATTGTGACGCTAGGATTATAACAAACAGTGACACTTTAACATGTATGTTTTATATAAGACAAATCCACTGAAAAAATGACATGACAAACACTTCTTTTTTCTTAAAGACCTACATGTATGTCACAGGTTAACAATTAACTAAACAATGAATATTTAAAATTTTATTTGAAGTTTTGTTAACAATTTATTTCTTTACAAAATATTATAATTCAGACATATACCATGTATACAGATATTTTTAAATTTTTGGGGTTCATGGTTGAAATGTAAATTCTCAAAAGAATGGAGTATAATTAATATATTAATATTAATATATTAATATCTTAATTCTCACTTGAACATAATTAACTATTATGGTTCAAATATATCTATATAGATTTCATTTCTATAAATAAAATTATATTTACATATATAATATATACATACATGTATATATATTATAGTTGTTGCCCATTTCATAAAAATAAATACACAAATACATGCACCATATTAAAAAAAAAAAAAAAAAAACTTACAGAAAAACTCAGGTTATATATTAAATTTTTTTTCTTTATAACTGCACTTTAATTCTTCTGGAATTATCTATACATTATACATGTTATAACTATGACAACTGTGTCAGTGATTTAATTCTTCATCGTGATCTAGGACATTGATCTTTAACCAGCTACTGAAACAATTTTGAATCCCACACAAGTCGAGATTTCTTATTTTATGATTGCATCTCAGATTTTCAAATTTATAAAGATTGACTTAGAATTATTGTTATCAAATGTATACCTCAAATTCAAAAACATCATTTGAAGTAATAAAATTTGGACCTTTGATATGAATTATATAATACATGTACTGTAACTAATACACTGTATATACAAATGCACATACAACTCTTGGTGCCTGAAAGGTTTACGTTTTGAAGCACTTTTGCTGCCACAATCAAACTACAAAAATGTAACATCTTTATCATTAAGCTGCACAATTACATACACAGCATTTGATACCTGTGCAGGCGCAGGCATTTCTTTAGGTCAAATAGATGCAGTTAACCTAAGCACTGGCCAGTCTTTTGAAATAAATAAAACTATCAATGAGAAATAAATAAAACTATCAATTCAATGACATATGAAATGTCAACATCATAATTGGTGACATTCCAGCTAAAAAAGGTGAAGGACACCCTGACAAATGCGTACTAGGCAGGCTCTCTAGACCACTGACTCTTTAAAAACCTATAGTATGCTAGCTGAATCCTATAATGATAATGAGATAAAAGACCCTGGGAAGATTCTACAATCAAAACCAGTAATGAACAGCACTGTCACTCATCAAAGAAATATTTATTTCTGACATTTAACAATCTCTTTTAATCATCACTAAATATTCACACAACCAGAGGACCATTTCAAGCCATTAATTTCACCAGTACAAAATGTTAATTTGTTCAATTTATTTCTCTCCTGTCACTTTAACAATGGGTAATAAAAGAGGCGGTACCATAAATTGTTAAATAATGACTAAGGATACTGTGTTGTACAGTCATAATGTTGAAAATCCAACACAAAAACTCCCTGTAACTCCATGAATTCAATAATTTTGTATGTATATACAATTACATTGTATATGACAGTACTGCTTTAAAGGTAAATTAACCTTTTTACATAATTATGTTATTAAGCAAATAAGTCTGCTTATTACAAATTCAAAATTAAACTTTATTTTGTATTGCATTAATTATTATTATTTAAATTGAAAAATATAAAAAGGTAATTTTATTTTTAATTATTTCTGCATGCAGCCTCTCCCAAAAATATGTACATGTAGTATACATGTATTTTTGAATAATTACTAAACTTGGTCAAAGCATGTATGCAATAATCATGTGTAAAAAACATGTTGAATTATTGAAACAAAAAGGAAAACAGACACAAAAAAATCCTTAAATACTTTTTTAGGTCTCCAATAGTAATCATTGGCAGCTAAATTTAGCAGAAAAGGACCCCTTGGGTCCTGAATTATTAATATTCCAGTGGGACAAAGACACAATGTTAATTTAAAGTTAAAGCCAATAGTTTTTTAATCTTTTCATTAACATTGCAAGGCAGACAGTTACCTTGTTAAAATCACAAACCTTCCAAAATGGTTATGATGAAATAATGGACCTATTGGGAAAGTTAAATTAGACCATTTATGTGGCCTTAATGATTAATCATTTGTCCATGCTCAATTCATTAGTGATTTACAATTAAAACTTTAATTACAATGTTATGAGCTTGCAGAGATTTAGTACGGAAATTAAAATGGAAAGCTATATTAATACATACTATATGTATGTGACATGCTCATAAACTGTTTCAAGTTGCAAAATGGCTTAAACTATAAAAGTATAATGGTATATATTTATAAAACTAACCCTTTGCCAGCTGGGAGCAACATTTTACCCATTTTGCCATTGAAGAACAAGATCAGCTAGCACTTCTGTGCAGTCTGATTATGATCTTTTTGTTTTGTTTTTGGTTGGGTACAATGTATATGACAATTATGGTGACTTTTCAGAAAGAAAAGCTTAAGTGCCCCATCTGTGCATAATTTCAGGCACATTTAAAGGGCATCAAGTAGAATCACTGGAACCACTGACATTCCATAAGCTAGCTCAGGCTAGCTTCCTCACATCATAATCTGTACTGTTTGATATTCAATCACTACTATTCTTCAATATTTTCCCCTAAAAAAATGGTGAATAGATTAATCCAATTTGAAATGGAAGAATAAGATTCTAAGTGTAGTATTGAGGGTAAAGCTTACTTATAATAGGATTTTCTATATAATTACATATTTCAGCATCAGCATCTCTTCAGCTGTGCATGAACTTTACCATATGTTGTACAGGTTTACCATTAAAACTTGGAAAATGGTAATGTCAAATAAGATTAAAGGCGGTACAAACACCAGCTGGTCTATGACTTATAGACGTCCAGTCTATAGTGAATAACTGTCAACAATAATACCAGTTCATTTCTCTATGTAAGTCAAACAAGTCAACCGAGATACTATCAGTATAATCAGTAGTGTCAAACTTGCCCTATAATTATTCGCGGTTTGTTATTTTAACTGGCATGTTAACTTCACTTTATTCCTGACTGCCGGTTTTATCTAAATCTCTGTTTTTACAAAGCCTTGTTAAGTTGCATTTTTTTAACTTATAAATTAAATACATGTACATGTAATGCTTTTCATTTGTTATTTATTATATTCATTATTTAGGGCCCAACGAAATAATTATGACAAATTCACCTCAACTAAAATGTAGAATATTTTATTTGTAACATCAACATTTTAAACTGTAACTTTTGTCGAAGACTTAAATTTTGGTAAGAAAAAATTGGCAAGTGTCGGTCCGAGGACTGCCATTTTACAACAGTAGTCACTTGTGCATCCCAAGAACCCTCAAAACTCATAAACCATTTTAGAATTTCACTCTTTTTCGGTAATTTGGTAACTTTTGTATAAATAAAATTTGATTTTCTGTATATTAATATTACTTAGGCACTTTTTTAAGATGGCTGTCCTTGAAATAGAAGACCAAAACTGTATAATCCTTTTTTTATATCAAAATTTATGATTGATTCTAAGTAGCTGAAATTCAGTTATGATCGATTTGAGGCCCCCTAAAATATCATTGGACTCCCAAAATCTTAATCAAGAGGTCCCTCAAAGGAAGTTATGGTTTTATATATTATGGAATAATTCTTGAATATTTAAAACTGGCACAATTATCGGTTTTGTTTTAGAAATATTGTAATAAAAATGGAAAAAAAGATATTATTATCCATAGATCTGGCATTTGCATGACCAAACTTCAGCCATACTTGGATAAAAATAGAACTAAAGATTTAAAAAAGAAAGTTTCAATTCTTATGGTGATCTGTTAGCAACAACAAGACATAACTTTGCTTAGTGCTTAAAAATGTCAAATCTTCAAATTCTAATCTTGATATTAATTAATATGTTAATCTGAATTTTCAAATCAGTAAAGATGAGTACAATTAACTGGGGTTAAACACTATTGAATTTTGCACATATAATATATACAGATATGTATTATTATAACTTGTAAGACAATCTTGATTGTATGAAGGAATTACAGTTAATACATGTGCATCAAGTTTAATCACTTTATGGAGGGGCCGTTATGGAGTTGTCCTGTTAAAAATTATTTTGAGATCTAACATAACATGAGATGACCCCTTCTTCCATCAATTTGCAGGGGTAGCATATATTCAATAATAATTAATGGGAAAATACCTTTCAGGTGAAATATTTCAATCATTCAATAAAACTATGAATAATTAGGGTTTCCATTAAGTTTCAAAATTTGGAAGTCAGAGACTGCAAAATGTCTGACATAGGAAGTAAATGAGTCCACAGAAGCCCTGCAATAGATTGAGGCTGTTGAAACTGTAGTAATTTAACATTACAACCAAAGTTAAAAAGCTATCCTTTTTACAGTTAGAAAGCTATACTTTTTACAGATAGACAAAATTAAATCAATTCATTTTTATAAAAATAATATAAATTAAAATTTTATAAAATGTAGCAAAATAATCTTACTATAAATTTTCAAATAGCATGCACAATACACTGAATCTCATATTGCAATGTTGAAGAACATTTTAATAAATACACTTTAATTTATGTTTTGATCTTTAATTTATGTTTTGATGATCAGTTAAGAGGATAACAGAATGAAGGCCAAAAGTAAACGCATGTATATCAGAAAACAAATAATTTTATTTACCAATTATGAATAAAAATTATTCACAAATTATTCTTTGTGAAAATACTCACCATTAATTAAAGCAAGCCAACAAAAGCTTAAAATATATCCTTTCATTTTCAAAACGCATTATAATAATCCAGAAAACAACAAAATCAACAAACTTATTTTAAATAAACTAACTGCAGCTTCTTGTTTTATTGACCAAATTGATGGTTACATGTAGTTCAAAGATTAACCTTAATTGATTTTTTGAACGAAAATATTTTTTAACTTTGTATAATTTCGGAATGAATTTACATTATTTTTCATGAAATGAAATGTTTTGCATCACTTTTAAAATAAAAGAAAGTTAAAATGTATGGATATATCGTTAAAAATTAGCAGTGATGTGTCAAATATTCCGGAGAAAAAAATTCTTACTATATATAGAATCAAGATTTTAGTTTCGAAGCAGTTTATCAATTGACAATTACTGTTTAAAGTGAGTTTAGTGTATCCTTAATATTTATTTACTATCAAATGATGAATTATGCTATAAAATACTTGATTTTATAACGAATTTTGGACTATTTATAAATGCGAATATAATTGTAAACATAAAATAATAGCTCTGCACTGATATTGTAAAGAGAGAAAATGTCAAACTTGGATATCATTGAAGTTCTGTTTTGTCAGTGATTATTTCCTTTCATATCATCAAACATATGAAACAGATTATTTAACTACCATATTTTTTTTAAGGGTAACATTTTACGAGCCCTTCTTTTTGTTTAATTAAAGATTACCCTGTTGTTATGGACGCTTTGCACATGGTCAGTGTTTTATGATTGTTGCCTGTTGATAAAAACACACAGGAGGGAACCATGTCTGTGTACACAAATGAAGATCGTTTTTCCATGACAGCTGAAAGATATTTAGGTTAGATCTATAATTATGTTTCTTAAACTTTAATAGGGAGCTCGAAGTGCTGGCCCAAAGGGCCTGCTCACAAATCGAGCTTTACGGTAACGCAACTGCTAGACAGTGATGGTTTTGAAAACTGTCATCTGAAGTACCGAATTGACACATCGCAACTTTTTGAATTACAAGATAACAATAAAAGCCGAGGTATTGTGATTGAAAACAGAAGCGTAGACTGGTGCCCTGCGCACTAATATGGGAACCATAATACCCTATAGGACAGGGAACCAGAATAAACTGAAGCAGTGTATAAAATACCTAATGACAATTTTAAAAAGGAAATGTAAAATAAAAATGAACGATTATTTTATACTATTTCACAGTATAAGTAAATCAGAGCAACAGATAAGCTTTAAAAGTGAATAGGGTATTACTCCATCATTTCCTTTGGAATTGGGTATTGGTTCCATTTAATTGGGTATTCCAAAACTCGATACCCTATGATTTCAGGATCAATTGGGTATTCAATTATGAAGATATGAATTTTATGGTTTCAATATCAATAACATTTAAACTGTTGTAAAAAGAGCATAGGATTAGCAATTTACTAGAACTTTTCACAATTGTTTTATTTTTTATATAAAATGCTCCTGTTATATTTCATAATATTTTTAACAAGTTCGTTTTCTGACTGATTTGTGATTATTTACGACTGTTTTTCCCTTTTGTAGACGCCATGTTGCTTTCAAAGCGTCAATTGATACAGCTGGGACCTACTTATTGACGGTTTCCGCAGAATCAACTTGAGTAGTCAAATCGACTGTCTCTTGCTTGATTGATATGGCTTAGTCGGTCTTTGGAGACCGGGGACCGTCGAAGACCGGATACCGTTCGGATAGTATGCATATCGATTAAATTTGGCATACAACAGATTAATTTTGGGGTGATGAAAATGACAATACGCACGGGTTTTTAAATCAATTGTGTATTTTATTTTTTTTAATGGGTTTTGATATGCATTCTTAAAAAATCAATTGCGTATTTTATAAAATTAATTGCGTAAATACGCAAATACGCACCTTATCTGTTGCTCTGGTAAATCGAGCTCGCTTTGAGGCTTTGCCTTTTTCATATTAATTTTACTGTTTATTCTGGTTTCTTGTCCTACTATGTTCCCCATAAAAGTGCGCAGGACACCAGTGTACATATCCGCTTTCAATCAGAATTTCTCGGCTTTTATCGTTATCTTGTAATTGGAAACGTTGCGATGTGTCAATTCAGTTCAGTTCTCCAACGAAATGTTTCAAATCTATTACTCTGTAGCATGTACTCGCATTACCGTAAAGCTCACTTTGCTCACTTCGTCGAGCTCGCTAATAATATGAAAATAGGCCAAGCCTAATGTGAAATATGGCAAAGTTAAGGAACAAGGAAGTCGGTTAAAATAACCATTTTTATTTTACATTTTCTTTAAAAGTGTCATTTTGTAATTTATACACTGCTTCTGTTTATTCTGGTTTCCTGTCCTATTATGGTTCCTATCCAAGATGGCTGCTCATCTGTTTTCAATCAGAATTCCTTGGCTTTTATCATTATCTTGTTAGTCGAAAAGTTGCGATTGGTCAATTATACGAATATTCCGCCATATGTCATTGCATGACGAAGCCCAACAAAAAAATAACACTGAAAATTTCACTGATAGGAATAGAATTCAATATATTTTTTCTTTTCTTTTTAAATATACACATGTAGTCTATAGCCGGACATAATGATATTTCTATACTTTCAAACTTACTTTTAAAATATAAAGTTTGTTTTATATAATTACAGCAAAGCATCATGTTTTGACATATATGGAGGATAGTATTGCTCAACTATTGGAAAATAGAGAAGAAAACCCAAAACTTAACCCAATAAAGATACTTAGTGAATAGTAAGTAACTAAGTTCTTACTTCAATCTACAGTTTGTAGTTTCTTTTTTTTTCTGACAGTTTCTTTAAATAATTATCATTGTGTTAATTCAGATTCGATATTATACATAATGCTTTGATTTACTTTATTGATACAGTCTAATGAAAAACAGTGATTTGCGTTTTAAGACCATGTTTCTTTGAAAATGACAAACATGTATTACATATTACATGGTTTCAAATAGATTGATGTTCTTGTTTTTGTTATATAATCTAAAAAAAATATTTGAAGTGTTTATCCTGAAGAGTAAACTGTGATCCAAATTAATTCACAAAGATCACAGCTACTGGTGGATGTCACATGACAAAAGTCAAATACAGTATGAAAAATCAAGTTGTTTTTTTAGTCTATTATTTAATTAACATTGTATATATACTATGTAGTTGCAATTACGTTTATGTTGTGGCTTGGTGGAGAGGTTAACACATCAGACTTGTTATCTTACGATTTCTGGTTGCAAGAGTTCAAACCTTGTCATGGTCAAGCCATTGTTTCCTTGAGCAAGAAACTTTACACTCATTGCTTAGGTCTGGTTTCTTCCAAGATTGAATTCAAGAATGATTCAATGAGCTTATAGCTTCCAACACAATCAAACTAAAATAAATTAGTATAAACTAATTACATGTATATGATATTTTTTTTGTTATAGTTTTACAGCTTTGAGGGATGGTAACCATACAATGTTTAGAGAATATCAGTTTATTCACATGACACCTCATAATAGAGCATCATTCGTTAAACTGTTCTGGAAATGTTATAAACAGATTGGCAAAAAAGGAGGTAACATATCGTTTATATTTCTGTGATTATTATGTAGAATTTAGCATGGTAATCATAGGCCGTTGATTCGTAAATATTTTCTCTATTACATAAAGTCCTACATTAACAGGCCTTTTTGGAATGCCACCAACACAGAATGTTGGGAAAAAATAATGAAACAAGATTTAAGCTTTATTTTTCTACACCATTGTTTTTTCACTCCTATTTTCTATTGTTTAACAATTCAATCTTTTTTTTTTTCAGATTTACTTAGTATACAAGAATACCATTCCTTGATTACTCTACTGTGTTCAGATTTTCCTTTTGAAATTGTACAGAAAACTGCAAGGTACATTTGTTTTCACATTGGTATTATTTATATGAAGTTTTATTTACAAGTAGTTTTAAGTTATCTTTTAAACTATTACCCAACCCTTTGCCTTTCACTGTTGTAGGTTTTGTAGCCTCACCAGTGTCTTCCGATTCTTCATGTGAGAAAGCTGTCGAGTTAGTGGTTCTACTGAAATAATGTACAGAGAGACACCTGAGGTCTCCCTCCACCAGTAAAGCTGGAATGTCGCCATTTAACCTATAATGTATTGGTGCGACATTAAACACAACCAAAAAGAAACCAAACCTATTACCCACTGGCTTTTGTGGCTTCATATTATACCCTGGGTTTTGATTATATTGTTGTTCAGGTTCAGTTTATGAAAATTACTTTTTCAGATATATTTCAGTTGGAAATCCTGGCAAATATTTTATATTTTATTGAAAGGAGACTTTAATTTCATTGTTTAAGATTTTTTTAACTATGCCTATTCTTGTCATATACAATGTTTTCAAAGGTTTCTTTGACAAGAAAAACATAGAACATATTTTACAGAAATTGTAAACACAAGTTTTATTTAGAGAGTCAAAGGATATCATACATGAGGAATAACAAGTAATCATATTTACTAATGATTTATTCAGTTATTGTTACATTGGCTGAAATCTGATGAGAAAGATATTAAGTGTGTATATTCTGGCATACAAGCATATTGCTCATTTTAATCACTGATGAATAATATGTACATGATTCTTACAGCTCTATATAGATATCCAAAAATAAAAAACAAAGGAGTAATATGTAACAGCTTTGTGACTTCTAATGAAATTACTGTGTAAATGTTCTTTGAGTTAAACGTACTGTCTATGATTTTTTTCTAATAAATAAGATGCTTTATTAGTATGAAAAATTGGCAGAGTTTAGTAAAATACATATAGGTATAATATAGCTAATACAGAATTTATTTTTATTACTGTTTTGTTGGAAACTGTAAGCTTCAGTACTCTCAAATCCATTCCTGGAACCAACCAGCACTAAACGGATAATGTAAAGTTTCTTGCTCAAGGAAACAAGGTTCTGCTACTGACAGGGTTTGAACCCATGTGTCTAGCAATGATTAGATTACTAGTCTGACATGTTAACCACTCAGCCATATTGAAATTTTAATAATTTGAATAAGATTACTGTTTTCTTACAGGATAATCTTGATGGATGATGCCTTAGATTGCCTGATCTCCTTTACAGATTTTATTTATGCATTTCAAACACAATTTTACTATGAAGGTAAAGTATATTTAAGATTTTTTATTTGCTTATTTTTACTTGGAATTTAGTCTCTAATCATTGATCCATAACAAACAACCATGACAAGGTGATTCCTTAAATTATAAGTAATTTTTTATTAATTGAAAGTTTTTCGATGATATCAATTGATGTGTAAATTCTCAAGTCATTTTGACTGAAATCTATCTTTAACCAATGATTTTCTGTGTCTTTGAAAATTTTTTACAAGTGAATTCATGTTAGTCAGTTGTTTTGAATTGACATTATGAAATGTACTGATCATAGATTTTGAAATGAGAAAAACTTTAGCTGAGCTAGATGAAGTAAACAAAATAAGAACAGTGTTCATAATTTTTCAGTATGATTTTAGTGAATTTTTACATCTATATATCTTCCTTATGTTAACATTACAGAGTTTCTTGACAAATGTTTAGAGATATATCAGTCGATGATACAGACACATTCTAGTCCACGTAACCCTGTTGTTGTACCGTCAGGTACCGAGGATACGAAAATACACATGAACAACCATCTACCTGGAGATGGTGTAGACGCAATGCAGTATTTCAGGGCTGTATACCCTCTCTGTGATAGAATGAACTATAGGTATATATATATACATACACTATTTCAAGGCATAAGCCCTGATGATCATTTGTAGGTATTGTGGAACTCGAAGCAAATAATAGATTTTCAAACTAATCTCAGGGCTTCAAAATTTGGAAGTCAGAGACTGCAAAATCTTTGATATTGGAAGACACATTATGTAGGTAAAGTAGGAAAAGTATTAGATTAATTTTGGAAGTCAAAAATCAAGGAGTAAATGACTTTCAAAAGTCCATTAACAGAAGCCCTGCAATCTGGGGAACAAAAAACTTTGACCATTTTATCTTCATGATGCACAACAGTTCACAATAAAGAAATCAAAACATTTCATTTAATGTTAATAAATTTACACAAATTTGTAACTGTAAACCTTGGGATGAGATTTTGGAAAAATCCACATTTGCTGAGATCTGGAGTATCTTTATAGGGGATAAACTGTGTAAGCAGCAGGGTAAGCCTAGTCATTTGAGAGACACAAAATGATATTTCACAAGGTCCTGGGTGTAAATCCTGGTCAGGTTGCATAATTTTCTCCATCTGTGATATTTGGCAGCCAACATGGGACTGTAATTATGCCCCCATTTTGAAAAAAAGGGGGTATATTGCTTTGCACTTGTCGGTCCGTCGGTCCGTCGGTCCGTAGACCAAATGGTTTCCGAGTGATAACTAAAGAACCCTTAGGCCTAGGAACTTCAAACTTGGTATGGTGATTGGTCATGACCAGTAGATGACCCCTATTGATTTTGGGGTCAAGGGGTCAAAGGTCAAGGTCACATTGACCTTGAAAGCAAAAACGGTTTCCGATCAATAACTAAAGAACCTTAAGGCCTAGGAACTTCAAACTTGGTATGGTGATTGGTCATGACCAGTAGATGACCCCTATTGATTTTGGGGTCAAGGGGTCAAAGGTCAAGGTCACATTGACCTTGAAAGCAAAAACGGTTTCCGATCAATAACTAAAGAACCTTAAGGCCTAGGAACTTCAAACTTGGTATGGTGATTGGTCATGACCAGTAGATGACCCCTATTGATTTTGGGGTCAAGGGGTCAAAGGTCAAGGTCACATTGACCTTGAAAGCAAAAACGGTTTCCGATCAATAACTAAAGAACCTTAAGGCTTAGGAACTTCAAACTTGGTATGGTGATTGGTCATGACCAGTAGATGACCCCTATTGATTTTGGGGTCAAGGGGTCAAAGGTCAAGGTCACATTGACCTTGAAAGCAAAAACGGTTTCCGATCAATAACTAAAGAACCTTAAGTCCTAGGAACTTCAAACTTGGTATGGTGATTGGTCATGACCAGTAGATGACCCCTATTGATTTTGGGGTCAAGGGGTCAAAGGTCAAGGTCACATTGACCTTGAAAGCAAAAACGGTTTCCGATCAATAACTAAAGAACCTTAAGGCCTAGGAACTTCAAACTTGGTATGGTGATTGGTCATGACCAGTAGATGACCCCTATTGATTTTGGAGTCAAGGGGTCAAAGGTCAAGGTCACATTGACCTTGAAAGCAAAAAACGGTTTCTGATCAATAACTAAAGAACCTTAAGGCCTAGGAACTTCAAACTTGGTATGGTGATTAGTCATGACCAGTTGATGACCCCTATTGATTTTGGGGTCAAGGGGTCAAAGGTCAAGGTCACATTGACCTTAAAAGCAAAAACGGTTTCTGATCAATAACTAAAGAACCTTAAGGCCTAGGAACTTCAAACTTGGTATGGTGATTGGTCATGATCAGTAGATGACCCCTATTGATTTTGGGGTCAAGGGGTCAAAGGTCAAGGTCACATTGACCTTGTAAGCAAAAACTGTTTCTGATCAATAACTAAAGAACCTTAAGGCCTAGGAACTTCAAACTTGGTATGGTGATTGGTCATGATCAGTAGATGACCCCTATTGATTTTGGGGTCAAGGGGTCAAAGTCACATTGACCTTGTAGGTAAAAACGGTTTCTGATCAATACCTAAAGAATCTTAAGGCTTAGGAACATCAAACTTGGTATGGTGATTGGTCATGATCAGTAGATGACCCCTATTAATTTTGGGGTCAAAGGTCAAGGTCACATTGACCTTGTAGGTAAAAACGGTTTCCGATCAATAACTAAAGAACCTTAAGGCCTAGGAACTTCAAACTTGGTATGGTGATTGGTCATGATCAGTAGATGACCCCTATAGATTTTGGGGTCAAGGGGTCAAAGGTCAAGGTCACATTGACCTTTTAATTAAAAACGGTTTCTGATCAATAACAAAAGAACCCTTAGGCCTAGGAACTTCAAACTTGGTATGGTGATTGGTCATGATCAGTAGATGACCCCTATTGATTTTGGGGTCAAGGGGTCAAAGGTCAAGGTCACATTGACCTTGTAGGTAAAAACGGTTTCCGATCAATAACTAAAGAACCTTAAGGCCTAGGAACTTCAAACTTGGTATGGTGATTGGTCATGATCAGTAGATGACCCGTATAGATTTTGGGGTCAAGGGGTCAAAGGTCAAGGTCACATTGACCTTTTAATTAAAAACGGTTTCTGATCAATAACAAAAGAACCCTTAGGCCTAGGAACTTCAAACTTGGTATGGTGATTGGTTATGACCAATCAGATGACCCCTATTGATTTTGGCGTTAAGGGGTCAAAGGTCAAGGTCACATTGACCTTGTAGGTAAAAACGGTTTCCGATCAATAATGAAAGAACCCTTAGGCCTAGGGACTTCAAACTTGAGATGGTGATTGGTCATGATCAGTAGATGACCCCTATTGATTTTGGGGTCTAGGGGTCAAAGGTCAAGGTCACATTGACCTCTTAGGTAAAAACGGTTTCCGATCAATAACTAAAGAACCCTTAGGCCTAGGAACTTCAAACTTGGTATGGTGATTGGTCATGACCAGCAGATGACCCCTATTGATTTTGGGGTTAAGGGGTTAAAGGGCAAGGTTACATTGACCTTGTACGTAAAAATGCTTTCCGATCAATAACTTAAGAACCCTTATGCTTAGGAACTTCAAACTTGGTATGGTGATTGGTCATGACCAGCAGATGACCTATTGATTTTGGGGTCAAGGGGTCAAAGGTCAAGGTCACATTGACCTTGTAGGTAAAAATGGTTTCCGATCAATTAACTAAAAATGCTTAGGCCTAGGAACTTCAAACTTTGTGTGATGATTGGTCATGACCAGCAGATGACCCCTATTGAGTTTTAGGTGAAGGGGTCAAAGGTCAAGGTCACATTGACCTTTTAAGTAAAAACGGTTTCTGATCAATAATTCAAGAACGCTTAGGCCTAGGAACTTCAAACTTGGTATGGTGATTTGTCATGACCAGCAGATTACTCCTATTGATTTTGGGATCAAGGGGTCAAAGGTCAAGGTCACAATGACCTTGTAAGTAAAAACGGTTTCTGATCAATAACTAAAGAACGCTTCGGCCTAGAAACTTCAAACTTGGCATGGTGATTGGTCATGACCAGCAGATGACCCCTATTGATTTTGGGGTCAAAGGTCAAGGTCACATTGACCTTGTATGTTAAAACGGTTTCCGATCAATAATAAGAGAACCCTTAGGCCTAAGAACTTCAAACTTGGCATGGTGATTGGTCATGACCAGCAGATGACCCCTATTGATTTTGGGGTCAATGGGTCAAAGGTCAAGGTCACATTGACCTTGTAGGTAAAAACGGTTTCTGATCAATTTACCAAAAACGCCTAGGCCTAGGAACTTCAAACTTTGTTTGATGATTGGTCGTGACCAGCAGATGACCCCTATTGAGTTTTGGGTCAAGGGGTCAAAGGTCAAGGTCATGACCAGTAGATACTTTATAACCCTTATTAATTGTTTGATCACTGGGTCAGAAGTCATGCATAATAACCTTATCACATGACTAATTGGCTGCTGATAGGGGGCATACATGTTTTACAAACATATCTTGTTTATAACTTAGAATCAGTGCAAATTCTGTGCACCTGTCAGACTGTTAAATTACAGTAAAGTGCGGGAGTTTGTAAGAGTCTAGAAGGGATCACTTATAGAGAAGAAAATATATCTACAGATGGTCAGGTAGCTCAGTCCTTCCAGGTTTAGAGCATCAAGTTGTGGTCTAGCTTCTGCTTTTGCGAAATGAGCCGCGTCACGACAAAACCAACATAATGGGTTTGCGACCAGCATGGATCCAGACCAGCCTGCGCATCCGTGCAGTCTGATCAGGATCCATGCTGTTCGCTATCAGTTTCTCTACTTGCTATAGACTTTGTAAGCGAACAGCATGGATCCTGATCAGACTGCGCGGATGCGCAGGCTGATCTGGATCCATGCTGGTCGCAAACCCATTATGTTGGTTTTGTCATGACGCGGCTTAAATGTCGACATTTTTTAAAGGATGGGTATGCAGTACAGACTTTTTTAGGCTTTATGCCAATTGCTTGTGAATTCCTTAAAAAATAAAATAGAAAATACACACGAGACTGATTAAGCAGTAAATGTGTTTTACTCATTTTTGTGCTAGAATAAACTGATAGTAGACGACTCCAACATAAGCTAATGTATAAAATGCAAGTAGTAACATTTTCTAAAAAAGCTCAGAATGTATGTAGCAGTCTAGATTTAGTTTTTCCCTGTTAAGCATATATATGCATATTCCACATGGCTGCTGTTTGAAACTTTAACACATATGCAAATGTGTGTTAATTTACAATATATACTTAGACTATATCTGCTTGTAAAAATGCAAGTTTTGTTTCACCTATTTGATTTCATTTTGTAATTCTGTAATTAAAATAAATAATGTAAGCTTAAAGGGTTATAATTTGTTGAAATATTTATAGGAATATTATGCTATGAATGTATTGATTTGAAGTAAAATATTAAAAATCCTATAAATTATTGATGGTTCACTTCTTTGTATGTAAAACATTCTATATAATGACCTCTATTTCAGCACACCTCCTGCTGAAGCCCTGAAGGAAATCTTGTTTAATGTTCCGAGAGTATCATTCTATGGTTTTCTAATGGCTATAGCTAAAAGTGACGCTATTAATGAACACATAGGTTTGATATTACTTTTTTATATTTTCAACTTTTATGTTATTAAGGTCAAATCATTTATAAAGAAAATGCTGGTTATTGAATTGGCAAATGTAGGTAAGCAGCTGTCTGTTAACTAACTATTCCTTATTTGCACAACACCTCCCACATTTGTCAAGGGATTTCAAGCAGCATTTAGCAGAGCTGTTGTCATCAAATGACCCCTGGACATTGTCAGGGTTTGTTTATCAGAGAATCTGGGTTTGTGCCACTGTCACTGGTTCAAGGTTTTTACATATACAGAATTTGTATATATAATATATACAACCATTGTGCATTGAGGAAAAGTTACTGGTAATATTTATGTAGATAAATAATATATAGGTTAAACTTCAATGCAATCCATTCTAATTTAATGCTAATCTGATTTTTTCTTCAAATTTAGACTTAAGTGTCCAAGTTTATTGTTAGAAATGAAAATTCTGTTTAATATATTATTTGTTGCAACAACTTTGAATAAAAAGGCCTTATTTATTTAAGCTTAGGAATTAATCAATTAATTTTAGGGGAAAAGGTCATTATCCAGGTAGGGTTTCAACCAAAAATCAGACACCTTTACCACTTAGTAACCATTAGTTGCTGCTTATTTACATAGAGACACCTGAGCTCTTCCAGCACCAGTATAGCTGGAAAGGGAGCATATGATCATTACAGTGGTGTTGTTTATTAATAAAACTTGGCAAGAAAAAATATAAACAACATAAAACCTTGAATTCATACATAGGTCTATAAACGCTTATGTTATTTATGTAAATTCATTATAAAATTATACAGTTTGTTGAAATATGTTTTATAGGTAGGCTACCTGTGAAGTCTGAATTACTGGAAGGCGCAGACACTGAAATTACACAGTAAGATAACCGTTCTAGACTTATATTCCACCGTTTATACACCTTTACCTTTATTGGACTTGTTTTCACCTGACATTTATGTTAACTCCCTTGATCACCTGGCACTTGCATTTAACTCCCTTTATTGTTTCCGTGTTGCTGCAGAGTTGAACTTTTTCACCCAGTATGTTAGCATGCCAGTGTTTTATTCTTTATTTTTATAATTATACATATTTATTTTTCACATTTATTATTCATTTTCTATGTCGAATGAAATACATTGTTGCATAATTTGATTGTAATAAGTAGAAAAACTTGTTCAGTATGAACAGACTTATTGAAAAGAAAATTCAAATTTTCTTACAAATTTTTCTTGCTCGCCCATATGGTTTCTTCCCGGTGGCAAGGGTAAACAAACCCAAACACACAATTTACGGATTTCATTGATGTAATGTGATTAGTAAATTGTGTTTACATGACGTTTCACATAGCAACAATGTATTGAATTAAAACAAGGCTTGAGAATGAATTTGCTTAATAATAAGACAATAATCCTTTTGGAAAATAACTTGTTGCTAGCTCAGAGACAGAGGCTCTGTGACAATTTTTCGTTATAAGCTTTTAAGTAACCCATCAACATTTATATAAGGACAGGATATCTTCTACCCTTGTTTTCTTACTTTGTCACAACTATTTTTAAAGACATCAAGAAGTTTATGAATAATTATATATTTTTCATTTTTATGTAGATTAAGATAACTAGTAAAAGAAACATTTTTTTTTTCCGAGTGATTTTTGAACAATACTTTTATACATCGTTGTATTTATCTCTACAGCCTTGTCTTAATTTTGGGCATGTTTTTACATAGATCTATGTATAAACCTTATATCATATTATCAAGGATTATGGACCCTAATGAATTAATTGGTAAATGTCCGACTAATTTCAGGTAATATCATAATAAACTTTAACTCATTTTTGCCTTCTTTCAGCAGTTAACTTTATTACCTATGTTATATTTTAGTCACATGAGAGTGTGTTTTCCATTGTGATGTCATTATTTGAGAGAATTCCACAATTGATCCACACATTCATATTCATTGGGGTCTGTAAGCCTTCATAAAAATCGGTTAACAATTAAATCTTTAAGACTATCATTTTAATGGTTGTCATGTTTGACCCGATCATGTTTATTCTAAAATTTCGGAATTTCATGACATATTTGAAGTATTTTGAGCATATTGTTGTTAAATTACAGCAAAGAAGTAAATTTCTTGCTACTATATACAATGTTTTATTAAAAAAAGATTTAAAGTTAACCTATTGACGTACTTGACATACATGTATGCCATTTATATTTTATTTCACTGTGTGAACACTGTTATTGGGAAGATAATTTTACATTCAAGTTTGTGCTTGCCACTGTACAATTTAAATCTATATTCTTAATTAAGTCAAGTTTTATCTCATGATGAAGACAAATGCTTGAAAAAATTTCCAGATAAACACATTTGGTCTTCCATAAAATATAATGATAAAATAAGATAGTTCACAATTTTACCTATTTTTATATGTTGGTAAATAATAAAGAAAAAGCTTTTTTTACAAGACTCCCCTTGATTTCAGTGTAATATAATGTTTAAGTATTTCTTTATTTTGCACTTGTTTTATAAAAAAGTTGACCCAATAGTCCGGGATTTGATAGTTTTCAGTGTTTTCTAGCTTTATCATGACGTCGGTTAAAAGAATCTTACATTTGAGATTGTGTCATACAGGTTAGCCATCTATTTATGAAACTTTAAAATGATTTATTTCTTATTAAGTGTCAGCACTAATTATTGGAAAATTATCTTCTCTAAGCAACTATAGGGAAACTTTTCTTTCTTCTGTGGTGATGGGATAATGCTAGGATAATATTTGACAGTATGATATTTTAACAATGTAATATTGCTCTTTTCTTAATTGATGTGCTATCTTTTTAATCTACTAAATTATAATATCTGTAGAAGTCATGTTCATATACAAGTATAACCAATAATACATAAACCACTAACTTTAATCATACTATTTCTTTAAGAAAAAAAGATTGTATAATACAGTGACCACTTGACTAGGAAAAAATTTTGTTTGATATACCATTACAATATTTATTGCTGTACGTTTGGTTGTGAGAGGTACTGGTAAAGCTATTTATAGTTTTGCTATTATTTAGGGTTTTAATATGCTAGATTTTTTTTCTTGGAGGACCTTGTTCAATTGACATTATATCTTAGACCCATACTAGTATTTAGTACTTATTCTGGGCACATTGAGCATACAATTTGCTTATAATGCAGAGTAAAACTTTCTTAATAAACTGGATTTCAATGTATTAAAAGTTGCATTAGGATAAAAGATTTTAAGGACTTTAATGCATTGTATCCTAGTAATGTCCAAGTATTATACACAGAAGAAAGAATAGGTTTCCATCAGATTATGTTGGGTTTTTTTGCATATCTGTTTAGTATCTTTTTTAGAATACCTTTGTTTGAAGAACGCATTAGAGAATATTTCTTGATTGGATTTTTATTTCTTTGATTAACTTGATGTATTAATAAAAATTTATTTAGCGTGTGAATAATTTGAAAAGAAAAGAAATTTGTGTAATATTGATTTCACTGAATTTAAAGAAGTGTGGATTTTATTATAATTTGATAATGTTTTTTCTTGCCATTCATTTTATTCATGTTTTTAATTAACATTGTTTTTATTGGGTGGAAAGTTATGTTTATTGTTTATTGATTTGATTGATGAATTCTGAATTGAATATGACGCTGAGTTCTGTCATTGTTTTCTGACAGAATATCTATACATATTTCCATTACAAACTATCGGTAGTTTATGACATAAATAATGTTGATAAGTCGTGTGTACTATTAATTAATAAATGAGTTATTAATACACTATGTGTTGTTATAATCCTATAGGAATAATAATGTAACATTTATAACAGATTTACCTTATATTGGTGAATAATATTGAAAATACCACTCATGAAATATTTATTTTTATACCACTCAATGAAAATAAATTCTGTATTTATAGAAAAAACTTGAATATCCTCTATGTACAGTCCTTTATAACATGAATTTTTCAAAATATAATATTCATATCAAATGTATTTTAAACCTGTTTGATATGTGATTTGATATGTTTGGTGTTATCATTGTTAGGCAGAATTTGTGGAATTATTGTACTTTCATATCTGATATGGACCTGAGTCTGAAGTGATGTCATATTTTTCTGAATATATTAATTTCTAATGTTTATCTGTGATATAAAATGATTGAGAAGTAATTTTCTTGATAACTGCAGTGTTTTTTCTTCCATATTACATTGTCATTCAAGCCAAAAAAGAAGTAAGATTTTAATTCTTGTTTCAGAATTACTGAATTCCTAGGAAATAGCCAAGCAATTACAAACATGAATAAAACTAAATTTGAGAGCAGCTTTGAAAATTTTGCACGTAAAAATCAAGTCATTTCTATGACTTTCACGTGCCTGATTGGGAGTGAGGAATTTATTCATGTTTTTCATTTTTATGTGTTTCTTGCTAAAGTGGAGGCTTGTGATTGTTGACTTCTTACCATTTTCTCACACAAATATAATGTTTGATTTGGTAAATATGGCAAAATTTATAGTATCAAAAAGAGATGGAAAAATTGGTTGTTACGACTTCAGTCCTGGGTGTGCCTTTATCATTGCATATAGGGGCACCTGGCATCTCAGTGTCATAAAGTAAACCTGGAACGTGTTTATATATAAACCATGGATGACTTGATTTAATCCCAACAAACTTGTGGGTACCTGAATTCTTCTAAATTTTTGATCCTATAAGAATTGAGTTTACCATTTTGCGAGTTGTATACAAGAATATAGCTGCCATTTATTGCAGTCAAGAAATGCAGGAGGAGAAAAAGGGGGCAAATAATGCTGGGCCTAGAAACTACTTGGTAAAGAAAAGGTAGGGCAAGTTGCACATGAGGTGTGTGGTTGTGATGGTGTTATAGTGCTAGAGCTAGATGCAGTTGCCATGAAAATTTTTTATATATAATAATTGAGCCGCGACACGACAAAACCAACATAGTGCGTTTGTGACCAGCATGGATCCAGACCAGCCTGCGCATCCGCACAGTCTGATCAGGATCCATGCTGTTCGCTTAACAACTCTATTACAAGTAGAGAAACTGATAGGGAACAGCATTGATCCTGATCAGACTGCGCGGATGTGCAGGCTGGTCTGGATCCATGCTGGTCGCAAACGCACTATGTTGGTTTTGTTGTGACGCAGCTCATTTTATATATAATAATTATTGTTTAATTAATTAACTGTGGAGATAATAAATACCCTGAGAAATGCAAAGTCAAACTGGTTTATAGAATAAAAATGCATGACTTAAAAAAGATGTGTATATAAATTACGTAACACATTTGCAAATAATTTTCTTTTTTTTAAAAGTTTTTCAGAATTTGAAAAATAAAACAAAATATTGTTTGTGATAGACATATATGCACCAATGCATTGTTCTAGAAGCAAATATATTCTGTAAAAGTTGAAGCAAAGCTTTTTTTATTGAAATTTAATCATTCTAAAACCTATAATTGCACGTGGAAATGAATTTCAAATATTCTTTTACTTATCATATTGTTTTAACTTTGCATTTCTTTAAGCTTTTTGCTTTCAGGAAAAATGATTTTTACCATTTAAAATTAGATGTTATGATTTTTTAAAATGCTTGTGCAGTTGTGCAAAGGTACTCATTTTATATTAATTTTAAAGTGATACGGAAGATCTTTTAGAAACTTTGAAAACTGAAAAATACCAGAAAAACTAGTTTAATAGAAAGAGTGTATAGTTTAACATAGCTAGATTAGAGAATGATTTAGGCAGTGCACAAAACTGAAGTGAGTTATAGAAAAAGATTTAACCCATTTCCATTTGGAATTCCTTTATCCAACTAGAAATCCTTTTAATTTGAACCTTTGAATGTAAGTGGTGATAAAGAGCTAAAAGTATGCTATGCCGTCACTATAGCGTCAGTTCAGCCTTCATCTTTGTGCCATCTGACTAGACTCTAGACTGTTTGTCATTCATTTTCAAATATCCATCTTAATTTACGATAATTGACAGGTCCAAGAATGTGAACCAGACATATTCATTTAAGAAATTTAGACGGATAAGGGCCAATTAAGAAGAAATAAGACTAAGTTTTTGTCTAACATAGAATGATAAATGTTTTGGTTTATTCTCTATGCTTAGAAAAGCTATATTTCTATAATATTGTAGTAAAATGGTTGATACATTGTGGGAAAAATAGAGCAAATATTTATTCAATTAATAAAGAAAGATCTGATAAAAAATCTTCTAGTGATGTTTTGGACATCAGGAGGGGCAATTAGTAAGAAGCAGTATGATTTTAGTACTGAATTAAAATTTAATGCATGATGATTATAGTCAACTCATACTAGTAATTGTTAACATAATCAATAGTTGAAGCTAATCATAGTAGCACTTCAGAAGAAAAGGGCCAATCAGGTTGGTTTCTCTATCTTTTACTGTCAGAGTGATGATTATGGCAGACTCAGGTCTCTCATTCCATTGGCAGCAATTGAATTTCCCTTTGTGACCAGTGCAGACCAAGATCCGTTGGCATATCTTTGCCATCTGATCATGTTTTGCTCTGTTCGCTATTCGGTCAGTACTTAAATTTTAAATTTTCTGATGGTTTGTCTAGAATGAAAGATGGACAATTTCATTTATGATATTTAGCATTGTGAAGGTTAAAGGGACTCTACTTAGGATTTATTTTTTACATGACAGGACTGGAAATTATTGTATGATTTTAATTTTCAGATTGATGTATATCTAGACCATTAACTTGTGTGCAATATTTTGAATTACTTGCTCACTCCATTTTTTCAGAATAATTATTCTTAGTGTGAAAAATAACCCAAAGTGGAATAGCGTTGCAATGCTTTTCACTCAAGTTGGGCTAAATTAATTCTAAAATATGGTTTTCAATTTCTTTCTGAGTATATTTTTTAATTATCCTTTGCATATCTTCTTTGTTTTTATTGCCTGAGCTGATCTACCCCAGCCACAAATACAGTACGTTTTAGGTACAATAAAAGTACCTATAAAGCCCCACAATGTAGTATCAATATGGTATCACTTAAGTACCTGCTTCTAGTGTACTTTATTTTATGGAGCAAAATTTAACATTCACTCGAACAGGGGGAAGTACACTTAAAGCTCCGTCTAAAATATTTAAATTATGCTTCAAAGATACTTCTTTTAAGAAAGCATATATAAAGCATCAGTCAGGTAGTACCTACAAGCTCAGCATTGTAGGCTCAGGGAAGTACATTTTAAGTATCAATTTAGGAAGTACCTTTAAAGCTTTACCAGAAGTACAATAGAAGCATCACTTGGAGCCCTTTTAAACATCAGCTTGAAATTAATAATGAAGTACATTTGAAGCACAACATAAAGAAGTTCATTTAAAGCATGATCATTTATTGAAGTATATTTAAAGCATCAAACACTATATATCTTAAGAAGTACAATTTAAGCATCAAGTTGAAGTTCATTTAAAGCATCATTGAAGAAGTACATTTAAAGCATCATTGAAGAAGTACATTTAAAGCATCATAAATTATAAATATAAAGTTTTAAATGGTTAAAGGGTATAAATCTATATCTTATGAAATATTTTAATAAACTCTATCAACGGTAAAATAATATTGGTTCCATTTTTATATGATTGATTGTACTGTTAATATAACCCATAATTTACTATAACAGAATATAAATGTTATGAAAAATCATGACCTGCACAGGCATGTAATTTACTGGTTCATAATGTAAAGAAAAGGGCAGATTTAAAATTTCCCCCTCAATAACACTCAGTGAAAAAGATTTAAATTAGGACATATGTAGAATTTATGAAGAGAAACAAAAACTAAACTTATACTTAGTGTTAATTTAAGGTAAATTTGAAAAGGCTGTTGTAACCAAATAGTCTAAATAGCTTACCATTATTCCATTGAACAATAGTAAATTTCCATTTCCATCTGATTGAAGAACTCATTTTATGTCCCAGTATAATTTCATTAAAGTTCACATTATAAAGTTGTTTCAATTCTAAATGACACTTTAGGCACATGTTTAACTTTAGTCCTAAGCATCTTTATAAATTATAAGCACCGAGGTCCAAAGAAACTTCCTGAGTAATATTTGAATTTTCTGAGAGCCAGATTTGTTCAGGATATTAGATTACATGTTGTAAACCCCACTTATCTAACACTTTCTTTTATATAAGATAGGCCAGTTTAACACAGGCTATTATGAAAACAGCAAGGAGAAACTCTTGACCCCATCACTGACCAATTACACATGGTTTATATTATGTTACAATCACTTGTGTTTTGTGAGTTAAATTTTACTCAATTCTCAAAAGTACATATGAAGTCCCTAGAAATATGCTTTATATTTTCATATAAGTGTTTAAGGCATCATTGAAGCCCCATTTCTGTTCTTATCTATTTATTAATGTTTACAAAGCATCAACAAAGTCCCTGGCACTTCCAGCAGAAGTTCCCTGGGCTTCTACTGAAGCAGGTATGTGTTAGGAGGAGTATACTTGAAGTTCCAGGGGCTTCATTTGAAGTATGGTTGTTGTGTATCATTGAAGTCTGTAGGACTTCAGGTGAAGCAGGTCTTATTATCTGTAAGTATATCTGAAGTACATTTCAGGTATACTTAAAGCTGGGGGACTTACCTGAAGCATGTGCTTCATTTGTGGCTGGGACATAAGAAATTCAAATTTTATGTTTTTAGGATTTTGGACCTAAGTGGAGTTCCTTTAAGGTGATTGTAGCTATGTGAAAATTGCTGAACTTTTATATGGGATATGTGAGATTTTATATGAATATTTCAGCACTACAATGTAATGATCATACCTCAACTGTATCAACTTGTAAGTTCTTCATAAAAATGATTGCTGTTTTTTTTTTTTGGTGGAAGATGAAAATATTCTTTGATTAGATTTTTTCTTGAAATTATTTTTGCAGTTACCACTCTCTGTGTGTTTTTGAAGGGATTTTAGATTAAAATATTATTTTCTTTCTTGGCTGAGTTTTTTCTTCAGTATTGAATTTTGAAGGTTACGAGTTAATTTTTTGCGATTAGGACTTTGTGATGTATTGATTGGGTGATTCAGTGAATATTTTATGACTAGCAATGTATATCTTATGAGTGACACTATAGGCACAACTACAAAGCAAAATAAATAAGATGCAGACACTAATAAGAAAAATCAAATTATTGAAACAGCTCAAAATGAGTGATGTACAAGTGTTTAAGACCTTTAATTTTTTCTTATAAGCGTCTAACTAATTTAGTTGTTTTACTTTACTTTACATAGGCACAGATAGTGTTTATCAAGACAGACCAACATTTAAATAAATGATTAAATAAACTCTATTGAGGATAGTTTTTGGGAAATATTTTAAATTTAGACTCATTGGATGAAAAAAGGTCAAAGACTAAATGTTGTATTGTAGCTTTCCAAGTAAATTATGTTCAGGTGTTACAAGGTATCAGTATTTAAAACAAATTAATAGGAAGCTAATGGGATTGTCCATATGGTGTCGGTTATTGGCGCCTTTAAGTAGATTTGTTTTCTCTTATGACCATAGTTTTTTCTTAGTTTGTTGTATTTCATAAGGTATATTTCAGAGGAATCTTGTGGTAATTTTGGTATATTTCAGAGGAATCATTTTTAGCTCGCTAAGAATCAAAGTCACAGGGTTAGCTGTTAGTTTAATCTGTATTATTATCAAACTGCGGAATTCTAAGAATTGGTTCTCTGGCAAGTTTGCTTGAATACATTAGGTTTGCCTTTATAAGTATTAGATCCTAATTTAACATGATTCTGTGTTTTTAAATATACATCGATTGTT